AATTGGGGAGACTGAACCTTTGGGTGCCGTCGATAGTTGTGCTAGCACGAAGTCACAAGTCATCGTGGCCGATGGCTTCAGTGTAATGGCCTTGTTGATCATGCTAGATAACACGCTCTTTCACAGAAACTCTAACTAAGGTCTAACTGTGGTCTAAGTATAAACCACAGATGTGTTCCTTGTTTAATAAACAGAAAATCGCCTGAATAATCGTCTGCAATAGGGATGTTCTAGCCGCCCTAGTAGACGGGTATCGTCGAATACGAGTGGCCAGCTATACAATGTATAATCATATCTGAGAATTTTGTCAGGAGATGCGTATAAATTTGTATCTTTCCAGGCTATATGATTTTCTGTATTGTTTGAGTCGGTGAAGAAAAATTAACCGAATTCGGTTGTGACATTCTTTCTAGTCGGCCTCTTTTCCCTGTTGTTAATTTGAAACTGTCTCATTATATATTTATTGAAAAAGAAAAGACGACTTGTTTTGTGTGTATATCACAACCCGTGTGTCTGTCATGTTTACTTCTTAATGAATTTACAAGAATGATGTTTGAAACAATCGTCTTTGTTAATAATTTCTAGGATACGACCGTGGCTAGTATTTTTAACACTGTCACGAATGTATCTGCTCGATACTATAAAACACTGTTGATCCCATCTGAGTCTTCTGTCAAATAATCTTCCTATAGCCAATCTATAATGGATAGATGATCATTTTGTGGCTATTCAATTTGATTATTCCAAAATATATGTGATTTCAAAAATAAAATGCTTTGACACCAGAAAAGAAATACTCAACAACTGTCTAGATTTCTGGAATCAGAAATTATCTTTATTTACACTATTTACATTGATTGTCCTCATTTTTGTTGTTATCGCAACGCTTCGGCCGTTATGTTCTCCGACCTTCATCAAGTGTATATCGATCAGGGTAACCTACAGGTAATTCTGAACTGGTAGGTTATGCATTGTTACCTCTGTCCCTCTTGTTACCTCTGTCCTTCTTCCATTCAAGAAGTCCTGTGGGTATCATTTTTTCCATACCCTTTTTCCTCGTCATATGCCCTATAAATGTCAAATGTCTCTTCTTGATGTTAAGTTTAAGTGTCCTTTTCGTTTTCATTTTCTCTAAAACTTTGTCGTTGCTCACATGTTCGGTTCATGTTATTCTCATCATCCATCTGTACCACGTTTCTGTTGTTTCGTCTGTTAGTAGATTGCCCAGTATTCACTGTCATATACGAAGATTAATATTATGCAACATTTCATTTCTCTGTTTCTAGTGAAATTTTTCTTTTTCTTAATATTTTGCTTAGCTTTGGGAAAGCATTTTCGCCATCCCAATTCGCCTTCGAATTATAATGTCGCACTTTCCGTTCTCTGTTAAAGCAATTCTCAAATATTAAAATTTTTGTACTTGTTTGGTTTTGGTGTCTCTGATTTGTAATCTGCATGTTGGGCTGTTCCATTTGCTGACATAAATGCATTCTGTTTTCTTACAATTGATATTTAGTCCTTTCTTCTCACTTTCCTTCACTGCCTTCTGTAGAGATTCCCGTGGTTTTCATTCTGGATCTGCTATCAGTACTATCAGATATGATTAAAACTGTGACCAATAATGAATCCTGGGAGGACTTTTAATTTTCTCAGAATTCCGGCGAGAAGACCTATCCTTGTCTTACACACCTTTCTATTTGATTTATTTATTTATTTAATTTTCTATTCATATGCAGGTAGTTTGCTGCCAGTATAGGTTTTGGATTATTCTAATGTCCTTCCAAAATATGTCAATGTTACTTAGCAGATTCAACAGTTCTTTAAATCATTAATAACTTTAAGGACTTAAGTAGAAAAAAAAATGGCCTATTTTTTGTTATTGCTCAACAAAAAGAACAATTCTTAAACGGGGTGGGGGTTAATAATATTAATTCTCGTAGGTTTTGATGTGTTTGAAATAACTTCTTTTTCTTTTTTTTAAGCGCCCCCCCCCCAAAGCAAGGCGGGAAGCCACTGGCACGCAAGGGGTTACAGAGAGTTGGAGCGAGAGCAAATAGGAGTGATAGAGGAAAAAATGAAGGGAAGGATAGGGGATAGATCAAGGCATCTGGAGACGTCGATTGACATTACATTTGAATAGTTGGAGATTATAGCTATCAGGGAAACAGGAAAAGCGGAAGGAGTTCCACAGGTAAGAGGAGCGAGACATGAAGCTATTGGAGTAGAAGAGATGGCTACATTTAAAAGTTTCGACAGTGAAATGGTGTGAGCGAGATGCCAGCCTAGTAGAACGCTTAATTCATGAAGTCTGGGAACCAGCGAAAGCAGCTCATCGGAGCAGTTACCATGAAAGTATTTGTAAAAAAGACAGAGGGAGGCGACGGCACGTCTGTGAGAGAGCGACTGCAGACGAGATGCCCGATCAGGGCCAATTACATTGCATATCCGTCTCTGAGACAAACAGAAGGGGCACCGGACCATATATGGCAGCAATACTTCATGCAAGGGCCGAGTAAAAATAAAAATAAATTTATTCTTTCTAAAAAAGTAAAAAAAAAAACTAGTATGATTTGCAATGTGTTAAAATGCCTTATTTTGTTAAAAAATATCTTGATAATTTTTGTTTAATAATTAAATTTTCATGCCAATAATTCTTCCTGAAATGGGTATGAAAATATACAGTGTTCGTAAAGGTATAAAAAAAAATATTTGTACTGTCGCTATGAAATATCTTTAGGCTTGTTACACTACCTTCTGCGCATGCGTGCTTATAGTTGGTCCTATTGTGGTCACGTGATCGAAGTTTGAACTTGCTCGTGTCAGTTTTCTCGCTGCTGTTACAGTGTAACCATAACTGCCCCCCTAGCTTAAATTGTCCCTGTTGCACACAGAACATCAGGAGCAAAAAGAAATGCTGACAAAGAATTAAAAAAACGAATAGTCTATTTTGTCGATCCCGGTAAAATAGACACCAATCGTATTTTGCCGGTATAGTGTTTTAGAAGTACATTGTAGCGGACTTCACTACATTAATTTAACTTTAGATTAGGAAACAAGACTGACGTGGAAAAGAATAAGTAAAAGACATCGTTACACATAAAATATGTATTTAACAAGATGTACAATATCAAACAACGATGTGAAAGAAAAGGTTGAATAAAACAAGAGTTATCTCTCTTTAACTGTATTTTAGTATTCCAAAGTTCACTGGAAGAATGTTTATAAGAGTTTCTTATAATGACGGTTCTCAGAAGATTTTGCTGTGTAAGAAAAGATTATGTGAGTGTACAAGGTATGTTCATCATGTAAGTGGTGTGTGTGTGAGTGAGTGAGAAGGTTGGCGCATGGTTTCAACTGTCGTGGATTCGTTTGGCAGCTGAATTCTCACTAATTTGCTAAGAAAAATTCTTGCTTATATAAAGTGCTGTAGGCTCAAGATCGCTGCGCGGGAAAAGTTATTCTTCACGTGCAGACGATCTGATTGGTTGGCATAGACCAATCAGCGAGCGAGTTTTGAAGAGACTTAAAAAAAATGTCAGTGATTCGTTTCTCACAAAAGTGCACAAAGCGTCAAAGGTGACGTTTTCTTATTTAGTGTTACTTTCATTGGTTTGTTAATAACTCAGTGCAACACTGTTAACTTCATACATACAAATGTCCCCTTGGTTTAAGTCGTATACACCTTTTTTTTTTTAACCCGGTGTGTTTCAACATACAGTCATGCTGATCTCGTTCAATTTCCCTGTGATTTTGTTTTTGTTTTTATCATTATTGTTTTTAAATATCCAACATTGGGACAAGAGAAAATCCGCCAAGAAAGGGGTCCCGACACATCGGATATAAAAAAATCTGTTTTGAACTTACCGTTCCCAGATCTTCAGCGTTTTCCCTTAGTGCATAATTGTAAGTGGCGTTAAGTTTATATATCCTCCCACCCTACACACACACACACACACACACACATATATATATATATATATATATATATATATATATATATATATATATATATATATATATATATATATATATATATATATATATATATATATAATCAATCAATAAGAACAATACTTTAGTCAGATGAAGTTCTTTAAGAGGATGAAACGCGTTATTCAGAATGCTTTCCTTTATATCATTTATTATATATATGCCGGTTATAATTTTAGGTCCAGAAACGCTGAAGTTGTCATTTGAAAAGTTCGACCTCCGATGTGCCTTGCCGACGTTCTTCAGTTGCTTTTTTTTATTTTTATCGCCATAAGTTTTACATACCCATATTACGAAATGGACAAAGTCCGACAATTATTTTGAATATATTTTATTGTTATACGTTATTTATTAATATATATACACAAATGTTTAAGTAACAGCTCTATTTAGCATTTACTTAAATAAGTAAATGTCGGTAAATATTGTTAATATTAAATGACAGTGAGGCTGGTAAATGTTGTTAATACTGTTTACTATAAACAGAGCATTTACTTAAATATTTGTGTATATCTACCACTTCGTCCCCAGCCCCTCAACCTCCGGCGTCTTCCTCTTTGAGTTGAGGTGTCCACTCGGTCCGAACCGAACTTAATGCTAACTGGCCGTACGCTCCCTGAGTACCCGTAGATTATTTCGACCGGTAAACTGGTCAAGTCCTGCTCGCTGCCCACGCTGTGTTAGTTTTTAGATCCAGTAAGCAGGGTGTTGCCCATACGTTCACGGTCGACTGGGGATGTGGCCACGGCTGTGAGAGTTGGTGGTAGGAAATTTTAGAATGTGGCAAAATAAGACAAGAAATAATATCTGCAGAAGCCATACAACAATGGAGAAAATATCGACGTCTTTTATATAATAAGATAACATCAAAACAGAGGTTACAGGGAGAATAAAAACATTTAACATAAATGAGAAAAGAAAAAGAAAAAGACAAAATGCATCCAGCGAATTCCCAATAGAGTGAGGGTTTGTGTGTGATAAATGTGTATGGAATCACCTGGGGTAGGTTTATGACTAATAGTCCAGTCTCATACAGGCTTCTCAGAACAGGGGGCAGTCTTCTCTCTCTCCTCCAAAATTCTCCCGCAAATCTCTCGACTCACTGCGACGATAGTCTTGTGACTCTCTCGACTACAGTCTCTTTCCCCGACTCTGCTACTAGCAAAATCTCGAGTTAATATAAAAAAAGTATCAGCTGATCACAATTGACCCTCGGCCCGGCACGCAGCTACCACGAGTACCAAGAACTATCCCTTGACATGTAAACCGATTCTCCAATTATTTACCTTATCTCAATCACGAGTTCTTCTCGATTCACCAAAATTATACTTTGGGATATCTAAACAATGATTCAACCTTTTAATCAAAACAAATACTGTTAAACAAAACCAAGTATCTCGCCCATCCCCATGTTTATTAGTGACCCAGGTTTAAAACATCGCCTCCTGCCCTGAGATCGTGTTTCTCATCGGTAAACACACATCTTAACTCAAATTGTTCTTTGATATATAAACACCGTTTCCATTTCCAGTCAATAAAAGTTATATTTTCGTGTGTGCGTTCATGTGGATGTGTGTGTATACCTCTCTCAGTTACATATATATATATATATATATATATATAAATAAGGTATAACAATAAAATATATTCAAAAAATTGTTGGACTTCATTTCGTAGTGTGTGACGTCAGTTATTTACGTTAAGATACGTTTTGAGCAGATTTCGAGGGAAATCATGGGAAGTTTGCCGTTTTAAAGCAGTAAAATCCACCTTGTTTATCAGACGCTCCTTCATAGCTAAACTGGTATAGCACGTCAGGCTATATGACGGTTCCGTGTAAGATACCAGTTCGATTCCTGTAAGAAGGACGCATATTTTTTTATGAAATTTCTCGGACTTTAAAGCCGGTAAATGTTGTTCATACTGTTTATTATAAACAAAGCAATTACTTAAATATTTGTGCCTATATAAATAACGTATAACAATAAAATATATTAAAGTACCCATATTGTAATAGCGATAATTTTGTTAGGAAATAAGATACATTTAATGATTTTGGACGAGAATTTCTATGGAACATTCAGAGCTAATTTCCAACACATTTTAGTCTTAATAAATTTCATTCACTTTTAATTAAAACTGCATTCTTTAAGTTGAAATTAAGGTCAGACCTACCGCGATCTAACGACTAAATTATTGGGTGTATTGTTCTGTAAAAGATAACTTTTGTTTAAATTATTTTATTTCTGTTTTTTTTGGGGGGGAGGGGTTGTAACATTTTTACAGTTTATTTGTTGGTTGGTTGAATTTAGCGGCATAGCAACCTCTATGAGTCATTCAATGCCGAAATTGAAATATTTTGAATACAATTGCATGCCTTCAACTACAGATAAAAATGTATTGTTGGTAATTTTACTATAAATATGTATTGTTGTTAATTCTACTATTAGAAGGTATTGTTGGTAATTTGGGATCTTTACTGTTAATTCACCCCAAAATATTAATTCATCTCAAAATAAAAAGAATTTATATTTACTAAAGTTCATACCAAATTCTCCCAGAGCGAAGACCTTCAATTGCTCTCTAGCTGGGTTGACCTTTGCGATCACCAAAAATGAGGTCTACATTCTGGTTCACACCAATAAACAAGCCGAAAACAGATTTTTTTTTCTTATTTTTTTTTAATTGTGATAAAATCCTTGTAGGAACCTTGAATATCATCCGCACTTACGAAATGGGAAGAACTCCCTGATTTTTGGTAATTTTCAAGTTGTTGCTAGGCAAGCTAAACACATTTTGATTTAAATTTATAATTTCAAAAGAGTGTCAAAAATTTAATAAAAAAGACAAACAAACTTTGATTTAAAATTTATAATTTCTTAGGGTGAATTAATATTTGGGATAAGTAACTTTACACTATTTGGGTTGAATTAACAGAAAAGATAAAAAAAATATATTGCTGGTATTTTTACTATAAAACTGTATTTTTATACTTTCATAGTGTTTTGTTTTTGCTAAAGAGTTTCTTATTTGCCCATAGCAGGGGCCCTAACAGGTGCTACCACTCTGGGTCAGGATGGACATGGGAACAACAGCAATTAAGAGTTGGTTTCATGTTCCTTAAAACCTCGAATCTCCCGAGCAGATGCCTTGCTGAGGTGTGTAGTTTATCGCCATACCCAGGGCTACAGTTTATTTGTAAATTCCTGTTTCAGTGTTAAGGTTGGTTTTGTTTGCTGGTAATAGTTTTTTTTGTTTTTTTCTTCAAAAATTTTCTTAAGAGTTTCTTTCAAAAATATATTGCTGGTAGTAATTTTTTTTTTTTTTTTTCAAAATTTATTTCTGGTAATAATTTTTAACAAAGTATTTCTGGTATTAAAACCTATTTTTACACTTTTATAATGCTTTTTAACTCAGTTTTGGGGTTAACTATTTGCTCATACTTGGGACCCTAACAGGTGCTACCACCCCGGGTCAGGGAGGACCTGGGATCACTGGCAATTAAGAGGTGGTTCCACGCTCCTCAAAACCTCCTGATCAGAGGCCTTGCTGCTGGACGTAGTTTATCGTCTTACCCAGGACGCGGATGCAGTTTATCGTCATACCTAGGACGGAGCAGTTTCATGAGGAAAGGAGATATGTTATATGATCAAAGACATAAATTTCCCATTGAAAGCTCCGAAGTTAGTGCACCCTAAATACATTTTCACCATAACCAATTACTTTCTCTCTTAACTAAAACTTCATTCTCTAATTCTTTAAATCCTGAACGAGATTGGACACTAAAAATTTAAATTTAAACCTATGCGCCCCTGTATCGTAACATTTTTTTTTCGTCTTTGTTGTTTACTTACCCACTATTAGTCTATTAGTCTAAGGTACAGATTTTTATATGGTAGACATAAAAATAAAACAACAGGAACAACTCGAGAAGATAATAAAGGAACGTGGGAAGAAAGGACTAACTATAAATTGTAAGAAGACAGAATATATGATTTTCAGGAAGAGAAAAAGTTCCAATATGAGAGCTGTGAATTGGCGATACCAAAATCAAAAAGTACAGAAGTTTAAATACCTGTGAAGTGTTTAAACAGGGGATGCAAAATGTGACACCGAAATCCGAAGCAGCACTGGAATCACAAAAGATGTCTTCTAAAAACGAAACACAGTACTAAGAAATAGTTAATAATCATCAGAAACAAAGAAAATAGTGCTTATATGCTATGTAAATATCAATTCTCCTATATGGTAGTGAATACTAAACGATTACCTCAGTGATTAAAACATGTGGTTCTACAGGAGGTTGCAGAGAAGACCATGGACGGACCGTTGGGCCGTTTAAGCAACGAAGAAGTTTTAAAGTAAATATAAACAAAAAAAGTCACTTATACTTAGAGACAGAAAGATAAATTTGAAATCTCTAGAACATTATGAAGAAGAAAGGCTTGGAAAATCTGTCACTCACAGGACTTATCGAAAGCAAGATGAATATGATGATTTTTTTTTTTAATCATTTCACCCCAAGCAAGGCAAAAAAGCCACTAAGACGCAAGCGTTTACTGAGTGTGAGAGAATATACGAAAAAGAAAATATCATAAAGGATAATGTTAAATCGATGGCAGAATAGGGAGTGGGAGTGATAATTAGCGGACAAACATTGATAAAAGCTCCAAAATATAGGGTTCTTTGAAGAGCCATTATTACTAACATTCTGAAGTGACACAGCACATTGACAAACGTTATCATATCTTCCATATATATACATCTACCCCGTCTTGATACGACCTCATCTGTTATTAGTAATCATGGCCGTTCACGCATGCGTGCTGCTATTGTGTAAGTAAATAAATTTCGCGAGAGTGGATTGTGTATCGACGTGATTGAACCGCTAATCAAAGCTAAGTTTCTAAAAATGGAATGGAACGAAATTTAAAGGTCAGAAGTTATTTTATTAAAATTGAATAATAGGGATTTACAGTCGCTACATGCGTCATTTTTTTTTCTCGTTATTTCGTGTACAAGAATTTTATTTTAAGCTCCTATTTTTTCACATTTATTTTATCCAGTTCTAAAAAAAAGATTATTTTCGTTGATATGAGTACGTACGTACAGTCTAAGATATCTTCATGCGCATGTGTACGAGCATGCGTATTTGATCGCCATGTAAACGAGTGAGATGTCCTTTAGATAAGTTCATGCTAACTGAGGTAGGTCACCTGGGCATGAGTGAAACAGTTCCAAATTTGGCAGCCGATTTTCGATGTTATTTCTGTTGAAATTTTTCAAAGTCATTGCTATTTACTAATCTTTTCTTAATCAAACACAGGATGAAACTGGCCAAAAGGTAATAAAGAAGTATTAAGCCAATATTTTAAGTGGAAAGGTCCGACCTGTTTTCTTTTTTTTTAAAATCGGTATTTGAAGCTATGGTTTTTACCTAGGCGCGAACAATGATTGCTAACACTAGCGGATAAAAACGTGCTTAACTAGGAAGCAGATTCTTCTTAGGAAGAGTATCAGGTTGATGCTGATGATACGATGTTGATGGCAAACAAAGAAAGAAAATTGCAGATATTCTAGACAAAGTAAAGGACTGTCAACTGCAACAAGACAGAATGTATGATCATTAGCAAAAGGGAAATTCCAAATTGTGAGCTACAAATCCAAAACGGCAAAATAAAGCAATTGAAATTCAACTATTTAAGTTTTATAACAGATGATGAAAAATGTGGCACAGACTTCCGAAAGCGATCGGAATAGCGAAGGATAGAAATTTGCGCAAGATCAATAAAAAGAAATGGAAATAAAAAGAGTTTGATATATTTGGCTACGAGGTTCATTTCAAAAAATTTAAGACATCAGGAGGGAAATTTATCAGTTTTAAAGACGTACAAAACTCTAATCTCCTTCAAAGTAAGATCCTCTGATTACAATTTCACTTGTTATGGCGCTCTGGTCACTTCTTAGAGGCGTAATGAAAGTCTTCCAAAATGAAAGTATCCAAAACCCTTGTCACAGGTTCCTTCATATTCACAATGTCTTCAAAACGATTGCTCCTGAGGTTCTTCTTCTTCAAATATTTTTTTTATCATGTCACCCCACGCAAGGCAGTAAAGCCACGGTGATACAAGGGGTTACTGAGAGTGAAAGAATTAAAAAAGAGAAACATTATTAAGGAGTGAAAACAATAGAAAAGTAATCAAGAGGACAGTAGATATTAACTGACATTGCATTTAAACTTTTGAAGGTCAAGCTTTGCTGGAAAGAATGGAGCCGGAAAAGAGTTCAACACGAAAAGAAAACTGTTAGCATAGAACCTACGGTTGCATCTAGCCAATTAAACTGTAAATTGATGAGACCTAGCTGCCAATCGAGTACTGCTCTTAAATTCATAAAGTCTAGGTAGCATAACCAACAGTCTATCCAAGCAATTAACATGAATGTGTTTATAGAAAGGACACAAGCAACCTACCAAGACCCTTGTTACAGGTTCCTTCATTTTCTCAATGTCTTCAATACGACTGCTCTTGAGGTTTTTCTTCAGGTTGGGGAAAAATCACGGGGCGCAATGTGTGGACTGTAGGGAGGCTGAGTGACAGTGTTGATGCCCATCTCTGTCAAAACTTTATTACATAGCGAACTTCCGGATTGTCTTCACGTCCCAATTGCATTTTGCAAAACTATCACAGCAATCATTTTTAGATCTTTATTACTTCCAATATCAAGAGGACAGTAGATTACGATTGACATTGCATTTAAATTTTTAAAGATCAAATTTGGCTGGAAATCATGGAGCCGGAAAAAGAAAAGAAACTGTTAGCATAGAACTTACGGTTATATCTAGCCAATTCAATTATAAAATGATGGGACCTTTCCGCCAATCTAGTACTGCGCTTAAATTCATAAAGTCTATGTACCATAGCGAAGAGCACATCCGAACAATTACTATGAAAGTGCGTTTAGAAAGGACACAGGGAAGCTACATTACGGCGGTAGGAAAGTAACTGAAGCCGAGACGCCAGATCAAGGCCAATAATATTGCTAATTCTTCCATGGATTTTATCAAGAATCTCTAAATATATAGTTGTAGCACAGGGCCATATGTGGTAGCAATATTCAAGGCATGGATGAATGGTAGACTTTTATTTCACGAGATGATATGAAAGACTGAATCAGTTCAAAGATACCTCCTCCAAAAATGCCATAACCTTTCAATCTGTGAAGAAGACCGATATGCCAAACTCTGTCGGACGCTTTTGAAATGCTCAAAGTAATAGCACGAGATTTACCATTCTTATCCAACCTTGAGAGACACTTTCAACAATAACCGTTAATACATCAGCAGTTGACCTAGAGAAGCGATCAATACTGTTATTTTAATCTTGCGATGAAAATTATTTTAATTAATATTGTTATAACATTCTTTAAAAGGACCTGAAGTATTTAATCAGTATTGTCATTACATTTTGATCAAAATTATTTGAATTAATATTATTATCTTTGTAATTAAAATTATTTGAATCTGCATTATAATTACTTCTTTTACAAAAATTAGGTTCTTAATTAAAATTGTTATTACTTCTTTTACAAAAAGTATTTCAATTGAAAACATTATTGTTTTAAAACATTTATTCAGTTTTCGAGAATGCCAAATAGCTGAACGTCATAAAATATTCCCTCTCGTCTGTCGGTCGGAACGTTTTTTTTTTATATTAACCCTATGGAGATCGACATTGGACCGAACATGTGAGCAACGACAAAGTTTTAGAGAAAATGAGAACAAAAAGAACAGTTAGACATGGAATCAGAAAGAGGAAAGAAAGAGATATTGAAGGAAAAAGGGACGCGATACAAGATGGAGAAAGACAGATACGCTGTCTTGTATCTATGCGTCGTACGACCACTTTAGCGAGCTTAAGTAAATGAATGGCAGAACAGGGTTTAGGAACGATAACAAAAAGACAACATTTATTAAGCGCTACAAAAGACAGGAAATTGTGGAGAGCCATGATCGCCAATGTCCTGGACGGACGCGATACAAGAAGAAGATGGAGAAAGACAGATACGGTATCTTGTATCTATGCGTCGTATGGTCCCTTTAGTTTGGCACAGTAAAAAAACTCAGTAGACAAAGCTTCAACTCCATTCTGTCAAATAAAAAAAAAGAAACGTAATTGTCTTATTTACGTTATTTTACTATTGTCTCATCTTTCTTATTGTTATCAGAACATTTCGACCGTTGTGACTTCCGGCCTTTTTTGGAGATTTAAATTTAACTTGGCTGCTGATTAATACGCAACTGTTGCTATCATTTCTCTTTCTTTCTTTCCTTCTTTCTTTCTTTCTTTTTTTCTTTCTTTATTTATTTATTTCCTTATTTATTTATTTATTTCCTTCTTTCTTTCCGTCTTTCCTTCTTTCTTTCTTTCTTTCTTCATTTCCTTATTTCCTTCTTTCTTTCTTTCCCGCTTTCTTTCTTTCTTTATTTATTTATTTATTTCCTTATTTCCTTCTTTCTTTCTTTCTTTCTTTCTTTATTTCCTTATTTCGTTCTTTCTTTCTTTCCCTTTTTCTTTCTTTACTTCTTTCTTTCCGTCTTTCCTTCTTTCTTTCCTATATTGTATTTATTTATATACTAGATTCAACCAGCAGGCAGGTTATGTTTAAGGCTCCAGGTTCTCTACAAATTGTCCAAGTGGATTAAAACTTTGGTTCGTGAATTTGGTGACATAACAATTGTGAGTTCAATCCCTGGGCTGGGCAATTTATATTTGAACTCGGTGTAAACGGTCGGGGAATAAATGAGCAGTAAATTCTCTGTTCACAGTTTCTTTGCTCGCTTCCGGCTCCATGCTTTCCAGTCCACATTAATCTGCAAAAATTTAAATGCAATGTCAATCGCAATCTGCTGTCCTCCTGATTACTCTTCCTCTGTTCTTGCTTTTTAGCAATGTTCCTCTTTCGAATTCTTCCACATCCAGTAACATCTTGCATCTCTGTGGCTTTACTGCTTTGCTTGGTTGAACTTGATTACAAAAAACCGCTTTCTACTGTCCTGATTACTCTTTTTATTTTCACTCATTAGTAATGTTTCTGTTCCTAATTCTTCCACACCCAGAAACACCTTATGTCTTAGTGGCTTTATCGCCATGCATGGGGTGAAACCGATTTTTTTTAAGTACTACAAAGAAAAGCCAGACGAGATACCCTTAGACATGGGAAGTAGAAGAAAGGTAGTCTACCGATGTAGATTAAATAAACTGTTCAGTTCAGAATTCCCTGTAGGTTACCCAGATCAATATACACTGAGGAAAGCCGGAGAGCGCAACAGCCGAAACGTTGTGATAAAAACGAAGACTGAAGATAAGGACAATAGTCTGAATATGCTATAAATAATAAATCCTCATCCCAGAAATTCAGACAGTAATTGTCTTAAAGATCACGGAGAGCAAGGTCTGGACTGTAGGGAGACTGAGGGACAGTGTTGATGTCAAATGTTTATTGTTGCGGACTAAGTAAATGTGATCCCCACCACACCCAGTTTCCAATGCTATTCGCACTATTCTTGCTGACTTAAACAGTATTGCCGTATCATTTTTTTAGATTTTTATAACTTCCAATATTCACCGGCCCATTTCTATCAGCTTTTGGGGGTGAGAGCATTATCTTTATAGTTCATGATTTTTACAGCCCTCCAGCAAGGTTTTCATACTTATTCGCTTTGTATAACCATCTTCATTTTTACTTTATAGTGACATTGGATGTGCCTTTTGGCGCAACGACTTTGGAAAGAGAAATCGGAGAGCCGAGTTCAAATTACAGTCGGGTACGTTACAATCACAAATACACTTGGAAAAGGTATGAATCCGATTCAGTTATGGGCTGAATACAAAATACTGGGTTTCTATAGCCTTGGTTGGCAACCAGTCTATCCCAGAAAGAAATTACAACCTACTACCGTGTCAGTCATGAATCGAAAGAGACATTATCGCCCAAGCGGGTATCATGTATGGCATTTAACTGATTGAGTAACATCCACCATTTGGAAGACTTGCGGCCATATCACGTTGAAACACCGGTTCTTGTTCGATCACCGAAGTTAAGTTGAGCTTAGATGGGCGAGCGCTCGGGAATACCAGGTGCTGTAACCTTAGATATGCGGGTGGCCTAGTAGATAACGGCTCGCAAGGTAAAATTGGAGAGATGAGTTTCAATGCCTCTCCTGTTTATATATAATTACGTGCAAATTACATGGAAAGGTATGAATCCGCATCTACTTCCCCCAACTATGGGTTAAATAGTAGGACGTATCAGAAAATCATTATTATTATCTCCAAAAAATTATTACAATCCAGAAATATGTTTCGACTTTAAATGACATTAAAATGGCTGACAAGCCATAAAAAGAACAACCAAACAATCAACCCACTATTTGAAGACATTTTTCAAGGCTGTATTTTGTTTTTAATCGAATGCCTTATTTAATTTCAAATATCTAAAGTATTATTGCTGTTATTCTGTATTTTGAATCATTCCTTATTTCGTTCTTTCTTTCTTTCCCTTTTTCTTTCTTTCCTTCTTTCTTTCCGTCTTTCCTTCTTTCTTTCTTTCTTTATTTATTTCCTCATTCCTTCTTTCTTTCCGTCATGACTGTGTTTATAGAAAGGAGTGGGATCAAAGTGTAGTACCGGTTTCATCTTCTAGAGCTTGAATCAGTTCAGCTTTCAGATTGAGATGCCTAAAGAATAACGCTTACGAGGAAGAATTAGCAAAAAAAAAACAAAGGAGAGGAGAGATAGGGTGTAAAGTAGAGAAGGTTAGAAGTAAGAAAGGTAGAAAAAATAAAAAGGACACCAGGTGATAGGAAAAAATAAATACTTCTACATACAGACAGAAGGGAAGAGTAGTAACAAAAGAAAAACATAAAATGAGACAGGTTTGTAGACTGGATATAACGGGACAATTAGAGAAAGCTTGTAAAGCAGGTAAAGATCCCAACATTACAAAAAACTAAAGTTCTTTATGGAACAAAATATAGAAGAGCGAATTCGGTTAAAAAATTGAATTCCTTTTTTTGGTCCATAATCTTTGGTCAAAAAGCATAAACAGGCAAGGGTTATTGAAAACAGAAGTAAAGAGCATCCAAAGATACAAACAAAACGTGAGAGGGCTACAGAGGCCTGAGTTAATGGATAATCTTATTTTTGTCTGAATTTCTGGGATGCTGAGTCGTCATGATTTTATATTCTGACTATTGTCGTCATTTTTATTGCTGTTATAACAACATCGGTTTACCCTCCGGCCTTCCTCAGCTGTATATCGATCTGGGTAACTTATAGTCAATTTTGAACTGAATAAATTTTCTTCGATAGGCCAAAACTTTGTAATAATATCAAAAATGGGGTCTTGACCCATCCCCAGATTTCCAACTCATCAAATTTCGATTCCAATTCCAAATATACCTACTACTATAGTCATATATATTCTAAATTCTATTTAATTCTTATCTCCAGGGCAAAGTCCTGGCACTTCTCTAATTACACACTATTCTTCATGTTGATTCTGTGATCTGCCAGCACAACTCCGTACGTGATCTGGGGCTTTTTTTATTTTTTATTTTTTTTTTTTTTGGCATAGTCGGGTTGTGTGCCAAAATCTTAAATTATTTTGCGATGTTTGTGTTCCGAGGCGCTCCCTGCTTTATTCTGATACAATTTGGTCGAACTCCAGCCGTTTGCGCAGTTCCCAGTGTATGACTGTTGCTACCCTGTCAGATTTTCATTTATACTCTTTTTAGGGGTTGACGGACCAGCTTGCTGTATTTACTGATTATTTGTTTTTATATATCATCTCTTTCTCTAGAGAGGCGGCATTTGATGTTTTGTTTTAGGTTTTGTCGTTCTTCGCTTTGCTGCACTTTTTCTGAGCTGCGATGATGAGGGATTCTATTTCTTTCACCGGGTACTTTCTGGCCCTGAAAAGAAAACAACCCTCTCAACACCCGGCCTGATATACTCCCAATACTCCTGCGCATGAAGAGATACAGTACGTCTGCTACTAGGGGACGCACCTAACTGGTTCTGGTCAGGTAACTGATTCGGATAGCTCATTTTTCGTTAAATCTCCAATTTCACCGCGTCCTGGGTTTTAATACCAGCAAAATATTTTTGCAGAAAAATATGCCAGCAATACATATTTGGAAAAAAAATATTGCCAGCAGTAAAATGTTTGTCGGCATTAAATAACCCATTATGGTTGATATGCCATAAAACAAACCAAACCAAACTTCATCATATTCACTTCTAATGTTTTTAGTAAGTGTTCCATCTGTTAAGGGCACGACGCTAAATTTTAGGTGACACAATTTATTCAGCTCTCAAGCGAAGTTCTGGTATTTTTCTGTTTTTCGTCCTTTTTAATTTTTTATGCCTGGTCGTCTAATGGTACAGAACCGTTTGTAAATCTGACAGACTTTCTTTTGCTTGTTAAATTCTAGCAGCTGTAGTTTTCTTGTTTCAATATGTGGTCAATCTGAAGATCATAATTCCAAAATATTTTATTGCATTTATGTTCAAGGTCAGGCTCTAGCTTTGTGTTTATACAATGTGTTTATATCGTCGAAATCTAGTTGTTTGCACAGTTCTTAGTTTATGAGTGCTGCCACCCTATCAGGGTTTTTTTATATTCTCTTTTAACCAATTTGATATATTCATTGATTATACGGTTTTATATTTCATCTCTTTTTGCGAAATTAATGAAATTGAAGATTCGATCAAAAATGAACTATCCAACTCAGTTCCTTGACCATAACAAGTTAGGCGTGTCCCCTAGGGGCGGAGGCACTGTGCATCTCTATTCATCAGCTAGGGTAGTGGGGCATTTTTGAGATTTCTATTTCACGGTCCTTGTATTTTGATAGTTTTTTTGAAGATCTTCAAAGATACATTATTATTATTATTATTATTATTATTCATGAATTTGTATGTTCTTGTCATGTCTTGTGCTTATCGATAGAGGTTGAGTGATAGCGAGTTTCCTCAATTTACCAGCACCTTCCTCGGTATCATCGCCGAACCAATGCTGCTTCGATGTGAACAATTTCACTTCTTCCTCGAATTACTAATTCATCTTGCCTTGTTTCTAATCTTTGAGACTCAGTTCCAGTTGTACCGAATATTATTGATCCGATCCTCAACTTCATATTCTAGTTTGTTTGTTTTTTTGGCAGGGGGCGTCTAAGTTCTCATGCAAGGTCTTGGTATTTATTCTGCATTTAATTGCCTTTCAACTTCACCCATTGGTACGTTGGTGTAATCTCGTCTACAGTTATGGAAGTTAACAGGTTGTCTATTTGTGGTTACTTTAGATGAAAGTGTGCGTTGAATATGTAAACAAAGACGACAAAAGCATAAAAATCTTGAGTTTCTACGGCAGACGTTTATTTTTTTATGGTGACTGCAATGAAACAACGTTCTCTTGGGTTCGTTTTAGTTTTGGGTTCAGAAATAAATTAGGGTAACAATGGTTAAAATGGTCGAGCTCCAGTCAGCTTTGCGCTGAGTTGGAATGACCACTTCACTTACTTCATGAATAGGGCTGCCAAAACGAATCCGAAAGATGACATCGGAAAAGGTGGAAAAGAGAAAGGTTTTGTCCTTTCCGGAAGTGTGAGTCATAAAACCGCGCATGTCACTAAAATCCTTTCCGATTTCTTTATAACTTGCATCATGGAATATATATATATATATATATATATATATATATATATATATATATATATATTACTATTTTCTTTATTGGTTCTATTTCGTTTTCCCCCACGATCAAGTGGGTCTTCTTTTTTTTTCGTTTTTAAGATTTTCCCGCTTAGAGGAGTCTGACTTTCAGATTATTGTATTCTCCTTATTTTCTAGAATTATCTGGACCTGTCTATCTGGTCGAACGCAAATCGTTTCCGCATTTCTCAGTGTATGATTCCTTTCTTTTTATATATTTTAGCGAGGTTGCTCATAATATAGTTTACCGAATATCATTAGGACCTTGAATAATTTCTCGCTGTTTTCCAATAGATGGCGTTCCCAGAACTGCGTGCATGTAGTTTCAAATGGTAACGCATCTTTGAGGAAGTACTATAAGCAAGTTTTAGATTCAGTGTATGTCATTTCGTCGAAGTGTAAACAACTTTGTTTTTCATAGCGTTAAACATGTCGGATTTCGTGTCAAAGAAAGTGTATTTGCGGGGAATTTTACTGTACTACTTTATTGAAAAGAAATCTACAGCTGAAGCATACAGAATTCTTGTTGAGATTTACGACGACCATGCTCTGTCGGAAACAACATGCATAGAATAATTTTGAATGTTGAAGATGAAGAACGTTCAGGCGCACCGAAAAAGTTTAAAGACGAAGAATTGGAGGTATTACTTCATGAAGACTCATGTCAGGCGTAAGCTGAACTTGCAGAATCGTTAGGAGTTGATCACACAACAGTTTCGAGATGTTTAAAAGCATTAGGAATGACTCAAAAGCAAAGGACATTGGGTGCCGTATGTGTTGAAGCCGAGAGACATCGAACGACGTCTTGTCACGCGTGAACAGCTACTTCAACGGCATCTACTTCAACTGCAGAAAAAGGAAGTTTTTTGCATCGTATCACGACCGGCTGGATAAACTATGATAACCCTAAGCATAAAAGATCGTGGGGTAAGCCCGGGCATGCATCGAAATCGGCAGCAAAGTCGAATAGCCATGGTGAAAATCGACTTGGAAACGCTTAAATGGGAATTCCTGCCGTATTCACCAGACACTGCCCCGTCCGAATATCACTTGTTCCGATCGATGGCACATGGCCTGACAGAGCAGCACTTTCATCCTTATGAAGATGCCAAAAAATGGGTCGACTCGTGGTTAGCCTCAAAAGACGTGTCATTTGTCCGACGTGGAATTCAAATGCTGCCAGAAATATTCGAAAGAGTAGTGGCTAACAATGGACAATACTTTCAGTGACATGTTTCTTACTAATTTTTGTAAATAAAACATTACTTTTCATGAAAAATCAGCGAGAACTTATTCAAGCTACTACTATTATTATTATTATTATTATTAACAACAGTATTTTTAACATCTTACAATTTTATCGGTCGCTATTGAAGCCTTCAAATAAAATCAAGGAACCGCTGCCATTAGGGAAGTGAAAAACTGTGTAAGTAGTGCCAATGAAAAACAAATTGAAAAATCAAGATTGATACGCGACAAAAAATAGTTCGACATGCTACAAATATAACCCGGCTCTTGTTATATTTTCTTGTCGATAAACATGTTTACAAAATGCGTTTGTACTTTTCAATCATTTTCTTGTTTAGTTTTTCCACATTTTTTATAGTTGTAGTTGATCCCCAATTTGGCAAAAATTCGTGTTCAACACGGTATTAAACGTCTGTGTTTGTTTGGCCTTTACATTTCGTCTGGTCGACTTTCTCTATATTGTTTTAACACTGTCTATCCCTCTTCATACCTCATCCTCCCCTTAGTCGTCTTTCTCCCCCGCTCCTGCCTTTTGTCTGGCTCCTTCTCCTCCCATTCACCTTCCTTCACCTTTCCCTACTCCCATTTGTTTTCCGCCTCTTCTGTTTTGTCTTCCTCTTCACTCTTCTTTCTCCTCTCCATTACGAGTTGAGCCTTCTACTATTTTTTAAACCTCCACTTGCAATCCCCACCTCCCTCTAATTTCTCACCCTCTCTTATTCTTTTCCGCGTCATCCACCACCAACTCTCTAATACTGCTCTTGCTGTTTTTCTTACTCTCATCCTTCGCCTTTTATTTTTCCAATCACTATAAGATGAACTTTCCTCTTTCTACTTTCCAATATTTTTCCATCCCTCTTTCTCATTCGGTGTTTTAAATCATTTTTCTATTTCTCTCTCTCTCTCTCTCTCTCTCTCTCTCTCTCTTTAAAGACTTAACATTCCTCACTTCCTACGCTCTTATTTTATTTATTTTCTCCAATTTTAATTCTGTACGACTTTTCATTCCCTTTAACTTTGTCACTCCTTTTCCTTCGCCTCTCTTTCATGCACTTTACCTCTCTTTCTACTCTTTCTGTTTTTTAGTTTTTCTCCTCCCACTTCTCCAGCTTCGCGTTATTCAGATGCTTTGTGATATGGATATTCTCTAACATTAGTCTGGCACAAGGCCAAGGTTAGAAAACGAGCAAGAGGATTGTGTGCCATGTATCTTTAAAGTGGAGGTGGACAGACTGCTCTGAAAATCAGCATTCAAATGATGGATTTTTTACCTAGGCTTGAAAGGTTAGCACTGCGGTCAGTAATTGTAATTAGTTTATTTAACGATCATGTAGCATATTCTGTCATTATTTTACATTCATTCAATCCTTTCCTTTTTCTTCTCATTCATTCTCGATCACGCCATTATCTTCAATATTCTTTTTGTTGTTCACTAAATTTCTTTCATTTCGCTTCCTTTTCCTTCACTCCATCTTTGTCTAAGAACAGCTTCTCGTTTCAAATAACTTTTCTTCTTTTGTATCTGTCAGTATTTCTGAGATGAGGTATTATGTACATTATTTACATTATTCGGACTATTGTCCACATCTTTGTGGCCATATTTATTACAACGTTTCGGACTTTCAGTATCTGTCTATATTTCTGAGATGAGGTATTATGTAGATTATTTACATTATTCAGACTTTTGTCCTCATCTTTGTCGCCATATTTATTATAACCTTTCGGTCCTTCTGTATCTGTCTATATTTCTGAGATGAGGTATTATGTACATTATTTACATTATTCGGACTATTGTCTTCATCTTTGTCGCCAAATTTATTACAACGTTTCGTTTATAAGCTATTACATTATTGTTCCCTATATTTTATAAGATATTACTTTATTGTTCCCTATATTTTATAAGCTATTACATTATTGTTCCCTATATTTTATAAGATCTTACTTTATTGTTCCCTATATTTTATAAGCTATTACTTTATTGTTCCCTATTTTTTTTTCCTGTTTTCTCTATACTTTTTTTTTTCAGAATTCTTTTCCAATCGTATCGTTCTTTTCTCTCTCCCATTGTTTGCTTTTTTGGCAATATTTGCTTTCTCTTCCTCATTTTTTATTTCTAAAATCCCCTGAATACAACTTTTTTCCTTTCTCTTAATTCTATAATCTTTCTTACTTTCTACCCTTACGCATCTTTTTGTATCTTTCTTGTTCTTTCATTCTCTATTCAATTGGTGTTATCATCTTTTTGTCAGCATCTCTCTCTCTCTCTCTCTCTCTCTCCCCCCAGAAGCCTCTCTTTATCTATCTATCTGTCCACTGGAAGTCTCTCTCGTCCTTTGCTTCTTCCTTCGTCTTCTAATCTTTCTATCTTCTTGCACGATTATGTTTTGTCTTTTCTTTGCCGCGTCTTTCCCTTCGCGTAATTTCCCGCCTTCCCAATCCACGTGACTCTTTCGCTCAGTGTCAAGAAAAAAAAACGAATTTCCGCTTTTCTCTTATTCACTTTGATCACAACTTTTCTTTTTATCTGCTCTTGACATTTGTGAAACAAACTTTAGTTTCGGCCTCTCCGTTTCCCTTCACAAATAAACACACACACGCAGACACACACAGACACAGACACACACACAGACACACATATGTACACACAATGTATGTGACACATGTTTTGACTTTTCTCGGATTTTATGTCGTTGTTTTCAACTAACACAAATTCTTCCCCCTAAAATATTTTTTCTTCTCATTTCAACCTTAAAACCTCTTCTCTGTCTCTTTCTTTATCCCCCGCCATACACACACACATACATATATACATACATACATACATACATATATATATATATACATTCCAAAAAATGATTTAAATCATATGTGGGGAAGTAGACCGGATTAACAACTTTCCAGCACCTTCTCGAATATATATATATATATATATATATATATATATATATATATATATATATATAATATTTTATTATAATATTTTACATCCCTACAAAAAAATTTTCATGTTTTGGAAAATTGTCCCTCATCAGGCGATGGTATAACAAGTTAACTACCATCGCCTGATGAGGGACAATTTTTATTGTTCCAAAACATGGAAATTCATGTGTAGCGACGTAAAATATTATAATAAAAAAATTATTATAATAATATTTTGCACTACATTGTATTGAGCATAGTTTTTTTTAAAGTAAATGCTAAGAACTGTGAATTCATAATCTCTCTGTTCTTTCTCTTTATTTGTATATATATATATATATATATATATATATAGAGAGAGAGAGAGAGAGAGAGAGAGTTTTAGGGTATGGTCTGTTTATGGGTTACAGTACTAAATAACAGAGCTAGAGCGTATTTAAATATAAAAGTGGACAATGAAGTCAACACCCAGCGGCGACAATCTGTTTCATGCTCATATGCAATCGTCAGACCATCGTCATGTATGTAATCTTTAATTAAAACTCGACCGACAAAGTTTGCCTGATGAGTGATTTTTATTACATTTTTACAGTTTACCTATAATTGGTTGCACATTCAGATCGAATTCGTGTGGAAAATAACCAAATTTAACTGATGTTTTTGTTCAAATACTTCCGACCTTTCTAGCCATCATTAGGAACATCAATGTTATCCGTGTCGTAGTCGGAAAAGTTTATGGGCACGTCGACGCGGTGTAATGTTTAGCAAGCTTGTTTCGGTAGATCAATTCCAATTAAGTAGTGAGTATGATCCTCAATGGATGCTCCACACTTTCAGCCTTATGCCACATCTAAGCTGCGCTTAGAAAATCACCATAGTCGAAAAAGTTTATAAATTCTGAACTGTTTCCACAAATTTAATAAAATACGTTTAAATTAAGTCTTTCTGTTTAAGTATAAATTTTATATTCATCTGTGTATCTGTGTGTGTGCATGCATGTATGTGCACGCGTATGTGTGCGTGCATGTGTGTGCGGTCGTGTGTTTGCGTGCGTGTCTCTGTGTGTGTGCGTACGTATGTGTGTGGAAGTAGGAGTGAATTTTGGCTGAGATCGTGTATATACCTTCTTGAAAGGCGTGACTACACCTCTTCCTGTGGCTTGTATCATCGTGAAATAACATGCTGTTACCGCTAGTGTCAACCTTGATAGATGTTCAGTTGAGCTACACATAGATAGATAGATAGATAGATAGATAGATAGATAGATAGATAGATAGATAATTTTGCAACGTCAATCGCCATCTTCTTGGGCCATGCTCAACTTTTGTCCTTTCCTCCCTATTCTCATTCTTTTCGCTTAACTTTCACTTTCACTTTCACTCCCAGCAAACTCCTGTGTATTATTACTACCTTAGGGTGACATGGTTAACAAAAAATTAGACAGCTGTGATAGATAGATAGATAGATAGATAGATAGATAGATAGATAGATAGATAGATAGATAGATAGATAATCCGCGGTAATCTTACGGTTCCTCTCAGTTTACTTGTTTTCTCTCTTGATCTGTTCTCCTAATTCTGATTATATTTCACTAAGACTAATCTTTTTTCTCTCTTTTTCTTTATTATTCCCGCCATATTACAATCTTCATTTTTCTCTTTCTTTCATTCATTCTTTCTGTTTTTGTGTTTTTCTGTCTGTCCTTGTGTCTTCCTCTCTTTTTCCCAGATGTTCTCCTGAATTTCCTCCGTATTCATCTTACTCTTTCCTTTCTCACAATTGTTTTTTTTTTTTTGTTTTTTCCTCTTCATTATTTACTCGCTATCACCTTATTAACTCTTTCTTTCTGTTTCTCTTTTGGACGCGGTTTTTGTTATCCTTTCTTAAAGCCATCTTCCTCTTTATCTCACTCCATCCCTCGTTTCTAACCAACAGCCTCTCTTTATAGTTTTATCTTTTATTAGTTACTTCCCCTTGTTTGTTTTCTCCCGCTTAATGATTTTCAAAAACAGCTTTCAATGCAAACATGAAAATCTTTTATTTTCTCGCCGTGTGTTCTTATTGTCGATATTTTTTTTCTGTTTATCAGCTGATTAAACTAGTTTTTATTTTTGGTTTTTCTCAATTCTTTTCGATTTTCGAGTATATATTAATGACTTGCTTTCATCACATATCGAACAAAGTAAAAGTAAACATACACCTTAATTTCATATTCTGTTCCGATTGTTGAAGATACCAATGGGAATGTTATGTATCTGCGTACTTTCTAAACAATTATAATCAAGAAATATAATGTTTAAATCTCGTAGGAGAAATATACCGGAAATATGACAAAAGCAGTAGTGTTTTGTTTAAGACACAGGAACAAGAGATACAATTTTTATGATCAAAATTATATCAGAGCGAACAATAAAAGTGCAGAATGGCCTATACATATATTTCATAGATTACACAAAAAAGTATTTGATAAGGTACGACACAAAGACCTCAGCTTACGATCATATCACTTTGAAGCACCTGTTCCCATACGAACACCGAAGTTAAGCAACGTCGAATCTGGTCAGTACCTAGAAGTATGACAACTTGGGAATATCAAATGCTGTAAACTTGGATGTGCGGGTTGTTTAAGAGATATTGGCTCGAGCCGTGTTCCAATTCCAGTTGGGTTCGTTATATTCACTTACGCGTAAATATCCTTAGGAAAGGGATAACTCCACCTCTTATCCACAAATGGATTCCTCTATACCTTAAAAGCAACAAATCCCACAGGTAGGACCCTAGTTTCGCTCGATATTGAAAATCCTTTAACCAATGTCCCAGTTGAAGAAACGATCAACATAATTAGTGAGCGTATTTATAAACACCTATCAATCCTCGCCTGCACCATGAAAGGCCGATTCTAACATCCAAACTAATGGCGTCAGCCCAAGAAATCCATTAGGTCCTGCCTTCTCTAACTTTTATATGTCACATATTTGTCAAGTATTTGAAACTAATGACAAACCACAAATCTACGGAAGGTTGTTTTGATAAAAAAAAAAAAATAAGGACGAAATTATAAATCTAAA